AACAATAGGATTAAAGTATTGTGTGACACAGATAATATTATGCTGGGTTGTGAGAAATTGTTGTTGTGAGAATTTGCCCACAACTATGTTATCTTCGCATCAACTCATAAAACCTCGCATCATAATCAGACCAGTTCCAGATAATGTACGGTTCCTCTCGTACATTCTTAAGATTTGTAGTGTTTCTGATAAGGTTTTATTTGAGATTACAGTATGAGATTCTTCAAAAAACGTTTAGGTATTAAGGTAAGGTATGGTATACCCTAAATGTAATGATAAACTCACCTGCGCTATCGGTATACCTGTATGCTTGTTTGTCACCAAAGAAGTATAAAGAAATGTGCTTGACTGGGTATCGAAACCGGGACCTTGTTACGCGATCCTTATGGAAACCATGGTTCAATTGCTAGTGAATAGTCGAGACGGGCCAATTCTGGCCGACAGTAAAATCCTGCCGTACTTATTACTATGATGTTACAAAAATGGAATTTGCATTATACTCGTATGTTTACAGACAATTTGGAATATTTCAAAAGAATTCGGCAACGTCTCCAATCTGCACGATTCACAGCCTGTCAGTAACATCTAATTTTGAAACGAAATGAAAAGAATGCTCCAAATCCTTTTCATTTTGTTGCAGCAAAGACATTGTTTGTATCTAAGCGAAGGGAACGTGACAAAAATTGATTTGAATGTTTCATTTTAAGAGTTAAGAACAGAGACAATTGTTTGGTAAATTCTATTTGTGATTTTTACGATTGTTTTTTTTTCTTTTATTAATATTTGTTTTATGCCATCAGATGGACACAGTTTAATTTAAATATTTCTTTCTAAGTTAATTAGTGAGAATGAATACCGTGATATGGGATTTTTATATGTACACATTTTATTTATATATTTATTTATTCATTATCACTACATAGTATAAAACAAAGTCGCTGTCGCTGTCTATCCGTCCCTATGTATGCTTAAATCTTAAAAACTACGCAACGGTTTTTGAAGCGGTTTTTTTAAATAGATAGAGTGATTCAAGAGGAAGGTTTATGTATATAATACACGCATAATACTGTAGAGGAACACTGATAATTTTAGAGGTTTCTAATGTAATGTCGTAATGTAATAGGGGGCCGGCGGCACTATTTAGTATCAACATTGTATCCGTGCGAAGCCGGAGCGGGTTGCTATTTAAAAATAATTACAACATTATAACAGCAAAAGCCAAATCAATGTTATAAACCTAGTGTGCTAACATACAAAGTTATAATAAATGTGTTTAACCCGACTCTAGATATTTGTGAGCCGCTTCTAATATCTCTGGCAGGCTGCTACTAAATATATCAATGATGTTTATAATATTATTTAGTAACCGTACTGCGTGAGTTAAGGGAGCGTGCTGAAGTAGGTTAGTTCTTATTGGCTTATTGTGTTTGCATGGCTGTGTTTCGGTTTGAAGGGTGGGATATGGCGTGAATTTACTGGGTACAGAGGAATAACACCTGAGTCCTCAGGAATGGCAACGCGTGGGGGGTATCATGGGCGAAACAGTATACTCTGTTGTGTTCATGGTACTGCTCATGTGTATAGGCGACGATTACCACTTTCCATCAGGTGGGACGTCAGCTTGTTTGCCACTCTAAGTTGTATAAAAAATAAACATTAAACTACTATTGCGCACATATAATTGTATGTTGTCTGTCCATGTGTCTTTTACCATATCATATCAGCCTTTAACTGTCCACTGCTGAACACAGGCATCCCCATTGGAGGGTTTTGCCACTAGTTGCCACCTGCAGTTGGTAACTGCAGTTAAGCTTTAGTAGTGTTTTGAAGAGTAACGCTGCTGTCTAACATTTAACCATTCAATTCCTTTAGTCGCCTCTTCCGAGACCCATGGGAAAATAAAATGTGGCCCATTCTATGCCAAAACCATACGGCTTTTGTAAATGTGTCCTTTGTAAATGAATACCAGAATTTACTATTTACTTTGTACAAAAGTGGATTGCTTGGGTACCTCTGTCCCATTCGTGTTTCTACCGTGAAGCAGTTGTATTTGCATGGCTGTGTTTCAGTTTGAAGGATGGGATATGGCGTGAATTTACAGGGTACAGAGGAATAACATCTGAGTCCTCAGGAATGGCAACGCATGGGGGGTATCATAAACAGTATCTATGTGTGTGTACTGTTATGTCCATGGTACTGCTTATGTCTATAGGCGATGGTTACCACTTTCCATCAGGTGGGCCGTCAGCTTGTTTGCCATTCTAAGTCGTATAAAAAAAAAAGAATAAGTAAGGTGTTATTTATGCCACATGACCTATGGGTACTTTAAAACCAGAACTATAAGCATTAGTTCTGATTTTGTTTACATTTACTGTTTTTTTTTATCTATAAATACCAACTGATAACTGATATCAAGGGGGCAATATACTAAACTTGGCTGTTAGATAACATCCATCACTATGTTTTTTTTTAATGGGTGATAATGGAATGGTAACCCCGCGTGTGCTACCGGTATACGCTGGTAAGGTACCAGTGAGAGATGATAGGTGAATATGAAGCAGATCAGTTGGCCCATTGTAATGAAGTCTTCAAAAATTAACCACGATGGTTTCCAGGAGCAACTGCGTGGAGGTCGACCTGTTTTTTTTAATGGGTGATAACGGTATGGTAACTCCGTCTGCGCTATCGGTATACACTGGCGGGGCACTAGTGATAGATGACTGATGATAATGAAAGCAGTTCAGTTAGCCCATCCCGATGAATTCAACAAGAATTAGCCGCGATGGTTTCCAGGAAAGACCACGAGGAGGTCGACCTGACAGGGTATATTGCTAGTAATGGGGCTATTTGACCCTATTACTAACAATGCCTCCCCCCCGGGGGTCGAACAATTTTTTTTTGTTGGATGAAAATGGATTGGTAACCCCGTCTGCGCTAACGGGATACGTTGGCGGAGCACCAGTGAAGGGTGATCGATGAGAATTAAAACAAGCCAGTTAGCCTATCATGATGAATTCATCATGAAGAATCAACTATGATAGTTTCCAGGGGGAACCGCGTGGAGGTCGACCTGGTTAGGTATATTGCTAGCAATGGGATTTTTAGTCTCCATTACTAACAATCTCTTTCCCCCCATGAGGTCGACTTTTACTTTAGGGTATATTGCTAGTAATGGCTCTGTTAGATCTCATTACTAACAATCCCTTTCTCCCTATTACTATATTTTTAGACGGAAATAGATATTTAATTACTAATGAAGCGATTATCATTAGTCTATTAAAGACATAATTGTTACACGAAACCTCTGGTACCTCGCCAGCGTATACCAATAACGCAAGATAACTTTTTCGTTCTTCACCTATTTTTCACAGAGTATCAGGTATGCATAAATCTATTAGTTGTAAGCCGATTTAATTTTTTTTTATCTGTAAGGATATTCTTAAAAAATTATCCCATAGGAATGTTATGAAAATCAGTTCAGCAGCTATAGTTCTTAAATCAATATTAATTATTTAAACGTTGCCACTGCCTTTACAATTGACTAAACAAATAAATCTATGTAACCATTTAAAATTACCAACATAATAAGGTAAACAAATGAATATATTTTAAGAACTGTTTGTGTCAAAATAGATGACGAAAGAAAAAAATATAATATGCTTAAAATATAGATATCGAGAGAAGTCATAAAAGATCTAGCTACTGTATTGTGTAAAATTTTCAAATAGAATGAACTGGTTGCATAGATTTCATACCGTTACGCTCTTATTGATAATAACGTTAAACGTCTCATAAACCTATTTTAGCTATTGAACTGTTTTGTCTCTTTCTTTTATATGATATGTTTTTAATTTTAAAGAAAGTGGCAAAATAATTTAATACCTAAGATAGGTAGTTACCTAAGATAGTTTTTTTTATGGGTGATAATGGTATGGTAACCCCGCCTGCGCTAACGGGATACGCTCGCAAAGTACCAGTGAACGGTGACAGATGAGAATGAAAACAGGCCAGTTAGCCCATCATGATGAATTCATCAGGAATTAACCATGATAGTTTCCAGGGAGAACCGCGAGGAGGTTGATCTGGTTGGGTATATTGCTAGCAATAGGATTCTCAGTCTTCATTACTAACAATCCCTTTCCCCCCTACCTAAGATAGTAGGTTTTACTTTATATGAAAAAGTAGCCAATACTAAATTTAGTCGAAGTGATGCATACCCATTTTAATTTCCAAAATAAAACATCTATTTACATAATTGATATCAGCAATAAAATAGATATGTTTATGACTAACGGTAGTCTTAAAAAACCGAAGTCAAAAGAAAGAAAGAAGCTATTATTACGCATTTTCGAAATTTGTGAAACTTATTGATAGTCTCATTCGATAGTGGTATTAGTGTACATAAGTATGTATATAATTTTAGGAATTCATCATCATCATCATATCAGCCTTGAGAGGTTTTGCCAGTAGTTGCCATTCTTGGCAGGCGGATTGGTAACCGCAATTAGGTTTTACAGGTGTTTTAAGAGGGACGCTGCTCATCCTTCGTCTTCCTTAGTTGCCTCTTACGGCACCGACAGGAAAGGAAGGGGTGGCCTATTCTACGCCGGGATCACACGGCCAATTCTATGAATAAATTTATTGTGTGTGCTGTGATACTTAAATATAATAACCGCATAATTAAATTTCTGTTTCGCCAAGGTTGACTGGGAGAGAATGCATATTAAGTCCGCCTTAAGGCGGACTTAATATAGTACATATTAAGTCCGCCTTTTGTACCGTACATTTTTTTTTGTAATGTGGTCAATAAAGAATAAATAAATAAATTTATTACAATTAAATATCGTAAATGTTGAGAATTCTATCATTTAATACTTGTAAAAGACTTATTATTAATCAAATTATTGTTATTTAATTATATATTGTTATTCTCAATCTATTGAATTAAATAAACTAAATAATTTTGTATCGTGTAATTCCCTTTATTGTGGGAGATAACAGTGATGTAAAATGGCGGGTGACGAGTGTTATCACGAGCACTTAGCACGAACAAGAGCAATAATATTACAATGAATCGGTCTAGTTCCACTGTTACATGTGCGTACAAATAAACGTACTACGTTGGAGTGTTCGGTAGTGTTATAGTGACTTATTGTTTGGTTATTGTTTGTAAAAATAAGGTAAGTTTGTACTTAAATAACTAGATTGGTTAATGACAGATTAAACGACATATTTCTTTTAAGAATGAAGTTAGGTATACGTACAATGATAAGATTAAAAACAACTGTATTTTAATCTGCGTAAGTAGGTAGTGTTTATGTGTTTTGTTTGTGTGTGTTAGTGCGTTTTACAATGAGTTTGAATCAACGGTACAATTGGTTTAAAATTGATTCTTATGGAGTCCACATTTGTGTAAATATTAAGAATATTGTTTAATAATTTGTTTAGGTTTAATAATTATCAATTATATTAAAGTTCTTAATAAACATACATAAACATACATGTTTCAACCGTGAAGCAGTTGTGTTTGCATGGCTGTGTTTCGGTCTGAAGGGTGGGATATGCGTGAATTTACTGTGTACAGAGAAATAACATCTGAGTGCTCAGGAATGGCAACGCATGGGGGGTATCATGGGCGAAACAGTGTACTCTATTATGTCCATGGTACTGCTCATGTTTATAGGCGACGGTTACCACTTTACATCAGGTGGGCCGTCAGCTTGTTTGCCATTCTAAGTTGTATAAAAAAATGGAATGGTAACCCCGCCTGCACTAACGCTGGTGGAACACCAGTGAAAGATGATAAGTGAGAATGAAAAGGCAAGTCAGTTAGCCCATCGTGATGAATACACCTGGAATTCAGCACGATGGTTTCCAGAGGGGACCACTTGGAGGTGGACCTTACATGGTATATTGCAATGGGACTGGTAGTCCACATTACTATCAATCCTTTCCCCCCTGTAAATATATGTTTATATCATAAATATTGACCTGGTTAATGTTAAATGATATTCTATAAAAATTAAAAGATGTTACATTACAACATAAGATTTACATTAAATGTAAATCTTATGTTGTGATTTTTCTTAAATGTTTAGTAACTTAAGAAAATATATAACAAATCTCTCAAAGAAAGAGTTTTATCTTTTTTTCTGAATCTTGCAAGTAGGTATCTAAATATTTTTTAAAATATTTATCGAGAAATAACTATATAATATTATATATATATATATATATATATATATATATATATATAATACCTTGGATTTTGTTGCTAAATTTCATGCGTGTTTCCATGGGACTTCATAAATAATTATCTTTGTGTTTTAAAAATACTGTTATTGGCACTGTTAGGTCTATTGTTCTAAAACTGTAATGTATATTGTTGTTAATTATTTTGTAAATGACTGTTTGTTGCCATAAATAAATAAATAAAAAAAAAATAATAATAATACATACCATAATGTAATGGCATTTGGATCGAGTATCGTGATCAATTTAGAAAATGCGCACCTACCATACTAGTAACATAATTACCTACTCTATGTTTAGGGGAAAGGGATTGTTAGTAATAGGCTATTCCCCCTGGAAACCATCGTCCTTAATTCTCGTCGAATTTTTCACAATGACACAACTGATTTGCCTTCATCTCACCTATCATCTGTCACTGGTGCCCCGCCAGCATATACCGAAAGCGCAGGGTCGGTTGCCATTCCATTTGCATCCATTCCAAAAAAATAAGCCCTCCTAGATATTAGGCTAACGTTAATGAGATCCTAAATTGTTGATAAGTGGTGATCCTACAATAAATTTGAAGATCATTACAAAATTTGCAGATAGATATTTTTTTCTATCACCAGCACACACGTAATAAAAGAATAAATAAATAAATGTCCACAAAATTAACATAAACTATTCAAAATATGTTTTAAAACTACTTCCATGAGAAGGCATTCTAAGTCGATTTAACAAGCATTTTTTTAATCTTTATGGTTTGCTCCCATGTTAAATGAATGAATGAAAACTCTTTATTGTTCCCTCCAAAGAATGATACAGATTATAAAAAAGGGTTATTATAGTTATAGTTGAATGGGTATTCAAGTAAGATATGTGAATGGGCATTCAAGTAAGATATATAAATGGGTATTTAAGTAAGGTATGTAAATAGATATTTCAGTAAGATATGTGAATGGCTATTTAAGTAAGATATGTAAATAGGTATTTATGTAAGATACCTACGAAATATCGTTCATCAATTCACCAGTGTACATTCAAGATTAAAGATTTTTTTTAATAAAAATCTTATAACTCGTAAGTACATAATAAATATTCAGAGAAACATTCTTATTTCAAATATATCTAAAGAAAATGGAGGCCTGAACTTGAAGACATGCTGTTTATAAATTGTTGTTTCTAAGAATTTGCAAAATATCTAATATAATCTGCCACTTTTAACTTAAAGAATAGAAATAATGTTGTTATTTACGTATACTTTTGCGTAGTTTTTTTTTATAATTCGATGCTTTTACAAGAAATGTCTTTTTAGGTACAGTTGGCATTAACAGTGCGTAAATATAATAGATTAAGATTATTAAAAATCATGTATATATATATATATATATACATAAGATTATATTATTATAGTATTTTAACGTTTAATTAATGTTTGTATAAACTATGTATTTTGATATCTGATAAATATTATTAGAATGGCGAACTGACCACCTGACGGACGGACGGACGGACGGACCACCTGATGTAAAGTGGTAACCGTCATCTGTAGACATAAACAGTATATATGGCCAAACGTACTGAGCATTAAAAACAAATTCTAACATCTTATTACGTAACTATGTTTCTGGAAAATAAATTATTATTGTTATTATAGTAAGCATGTAGTAGTAAGAGTATATGGCATTCAAAATAAGTCTCTGTGATTTTTAATATGTTTGTATGTTAATTTGGTTTTTATGATGAATATAAATAAATAAAAAAAAAATACCAATAAAAATAATTAGTTGCTGACTGTACATATTTTAGTATTGGCTTAGGTATTAGATTTGTTGTACCGATGCGCCGTGATTTGTGGGCGCAGGGGAACGTATGTACTCGATTGTTTGAAAGACGAAAGAAGTATTACAATTTTGACGGTTAACTGCCAACAACCCCTAACTAACATAAATATAATTTTAGAAGTGTCACAGAAAATTTATCACACAAAGGATTTATTCCAAATACAATGGAATAGAAAAGCGGATTAATTGAATTCTCAATATATTAATGTTACTCGTAAATTGTTCTCTAAGTAACGTTAAAAAGGAGATAGATACAAAAAATGTCTATATCTATTTCATAAATGTCAGTTAGGAGATATTGGTGGTTAACTATCGATTTGTCGAATGAAATCCAATGGATAATTCAATCTCACTTGACAATAGAGAATGAAGTACTACTCCAGTAGTTGATAGGAATCTCTTAGATAGACTTTTTTTTTATACAACTTAGAATGGCAAACAAGCTGACGGCCCACCTGATGGAAAGTGGTAACCGTCGCTTATAGACATGAATAGTACATTCATTCCTGAGGACTCAGGTGTTACTCCTCTGTACCCAGTAAATTCACGCCATATCCCACCCTTCAAACCGAAACACAGCCATGCAAACACAACTGCTTCACGGTTGAAACACATGAAACACGTATTTGTACAATGACAGAAAAGAGGAGGCGTTGAAAAAATATTAAGTTAGAAAAATATTTGCCAGAAGGAGATTTAGTATAAAATTTGTCTGGGTACCGCTGTCCTGTTCATGTTTCTGAGATGAAGCGCTGTGCTTTCATGGCTGTGTTTCGGCTTGATGTGGCTGTGAAATTACAGGGTACGGAGTCATAATAAACAGCTGAGAAACTGACGTATCACGTTCTTGTTTTTTTTTTTTTAATTTTAAAATTTTAGTATGGTACTGTCATTGTCGATTGCTATAATTTATTCAGAGTTTGTTCTTTTTAGTTTTGGTCATGTTTTTTTAAATTTATTTATTGAGTCTCCCATCCGGGAAATGGGTATTGGTGACTCGCACGCATGGTAAAGTTAAAGAAGTTAAGGGGCCGCCTGAAAATCAGCGCTTTATAGGTACATCTCGCTGGAGGTGTGCATATATAGCAATAGCTGAGGCGGCTACCATTACCAACAAAATGAATTTTTTTTCTTTTTATTGTGATTTTTCTTACATTTTATTAGTAGTAATAAAAATTAGATAATTTTTCAATCTATATAATATAGTCCTAAAATATAGTAATGCATCGTGGCTTCGGTTACCACTATCCATCGGGCAAGCCAACTTTTGAAGTCGCATAAAAAATTCTAAGTATAAGTAATTATTTCACCTTGTGGTCCCGGTATAGAATGGACCATCTCTTTCTTTCGCGTGAGTGTCGTAAGGTGACTAAGGGAAATTAATGATCGAGGGATAGGCAGCAGCGTTCCTATTAAAACATCACCAAATGTTTATTCATTTATTAGATTTATCTGCCTCTTGTCATAGTAGATACCTATCAAGTATTACGACACAACCTCAACGGCGATCGGATCGGACCACCTAGCATGACGCAAGAAGGTGCGCTACCGAGAAAGACACCTGCGTCGAGTCAGCATTTCAATTCCCGCAGCAAAAATACCCATTTCCTTTATGTTTGATTTGATATAACTTCACTTACGGATCACACATCGATCTGAAGAGACATATTATTGTAATAATTAATTTTAGAATTAAATTTAGTTATATTTATAAAATTGTTTTTTTTTTGGGTCTTCCGCCAGCAACTACAATAACTCTCTGGTAAATAAATCTAATAAATAAATAAACATGAAAAAACCATTTCGACTGGATTATAAAGTGTACAAACAATTGAACATGCTTATCACATCACATCAGAAATAACAAGATTATTTGTGTTATTACTGTGATAATTTACACTCTTGAAGATTATTTCTTATTACAAAGAAAATCAGTCAATCATGATAAGTGTATATAAGGTTACGAATATTCTGTACTAGTTTTTACCCGCGACTTCCGCTGCTTGCGATATATTTGATGATTGGTATAAAGTCCAGAATGGTTTTTTTTTAATGGGTGATAATGGTATGGTAACCACGTCTGCGCTATCGGTATATACTGGTGGGGCACCAGTGATAGATGAGTGATGAGGATGAAAGCAGGTCAGTTAGCTCTTCCAATAATCTTTCTTCTAGGGGGAACCAATTAGAGGTCGACCTGACAGGGTATATTGCTAATAATGGGGTCAAATAACCCCATTACTAACAATCTCTTTCCCTCCTATGGAGAATGATTAGATTCCTTATAATATTTCCGAATGATAGCGGTTATAAATATATAAAAAAATGTTAAAATCGAGTATCTGGTAGCATCTATCTTGAGCACATCGTAAAGGTTGACTGGTAGAGAATGCCAATTTTTTATTATGCAATTTACAATGGAAAATAAGCCGACGGCCTATCTGATAGAAAGTGGTTACCGTCGCCTATAGACATGAGCAGCACCATGGACATAACAGAGTATACTGCTTCGCCCATGATACCCCCCATGCGTTGCCATTCCTGAGGTCTCAGATGTTATTCCTCTGTACCCTGTAAATTCATATATGCCTATACCATCAAGTCCACCTTTGGTACCGTTCACATTTGATCGGTCAATAAAGTTTAAATAAATATATAAAAATTGTTTACAAGACTTATAATAAAGCCTATATCTAAAAGTAAAATTAAGGTTATAAAAAAATCTTTCCTATCGCATTGGCTTACTTAAATAAAAGTTTATAATAAAAAATATGTTAATTAATCGTCCGTCGTCGCATTGTTTTATTTATATCAGTTGATAACTGTGGCAAACAATAATTACATATTCCGTTGAACAATCTAGTGTCTAGCCGATGACATTATGTCCTTTGTATCTTAATTCATCTCTCCGGCTAAAGGGAATAAATATGCTAATGTGACGCTGGAAAAAAGAATTTAATCCAAGTACTAATCAATATAAATTAATATAGAATGCTATTGTTTGTTTATTTGCTAAGTTGCATACAAAACAATAGCAATATACCCAACCAGGTCGACCTCCTCGCGGTTCTCCCTGGAAACTATCATGGTTAATTCCTGATGAATTCATCATGATGGACTAACTGGCCTGTTTTCATTCTCATCTATCACCCTTCACTGGTGCTCTGCCAGCGTATCCCGTTAGCGCAGGCGGGGTTACCATACCATATTCACCCATCAAAAAAAAAAAGACCACGTGGATGCACGCCACTCCCCCATCAAAAAAAAAAAGACCACGCCCCCCTTCCCATACACACACATAGTCAAACGTAAGTCGACATATGAGGAGACGTTTCAGATATTCATTATGGTTTGTATTAAGAACGCAGAGTCGCGTGTTTACATACAAACTTTGCTTCGTAAAATTTTTTGCTTGCAAAAATATGAAATAAACTACTACTTGTAAATATTACTACTTGTAAATAGTAATCTTTATACCGACTGAATATCATACAAATTAATATATAATAAATAATAAATGGGAGCAAACTTTATCAACTGTGGTAGGTGAGCAATATTACTATATATACATTTTTTCACTTCGAGTAGCAAGCTCTAGAAGCACCGCTACTCAACAAGAGGTGGCGCAAGAGGGCCCCGGATGTTGCATTCTTACATTCGACATAATAATAACATAATCGCCCAACATAATCACAGAAAAAGTCTTAGAAATTCAGAACCTCCTCATTATGAAGGTCCGTTTAAAAAAATATTAAAAAATGTATTTACTACACACGGTTTTAAATAACTAATTACTTGACTGCCTTTACGAAAGATCATTATTAAATACCGTATTTGAAAATAGAACTGGCTGTCTCAATACAGTTGCTGTTTGTGATCTGTTACTTGGTAAATAAGCTTTACAAATTCTTTATTAAATATCTAGAGGTCTACCATGAAATGAAATTTCCGATTTTGGACTCAATTTCACGTTTTTATTCATACCGATATCGGCCCAGTAAATGGAGCTTAATATTTCGTCCGATATAAATCCTACTATAAAAGTCAAAAGAAACGATATTTTAACATTTTTAATCTTTTAAACAGTATGTATATACATATGTACATATGTAATTTTAACATCAAATTTGTGTTTCATTCGGCTTCGAAACTTCGGAAAATATTTCATGGTAGGGCCTCTGTTTTTATTTATTTCATTTAAGGCGTTTTCTGAGAATCTGTGATCACATTTTGTGATATGGTTTAATGACAATAGGAATTCGAATCTACTTTCAAGTGTAGAGAGTCTGGAGATACAAAGTCCATAGATCTCGTGTTTTAAATTTTATCAATTTAAACGTTACAAAATATACATGTAATAGATTTTATATGCAACTTAAACTGGAAAGTGGTAACCTAAGTACATGAAGATGGTAGACATAGAGGTGAAGTTATTTACGAGTTTATATATTTTAGTTTAAATTTACGTCCGTGCTTGAATACTAAAACATAATTATTAAAAACTAGAGAATATTTGCAGAGAAATCTTATATATAAAATTCTCATGTCACGGTGTTTGTTACCAAACTCCTCCGAAACGGCTTTACCGATTTTTATAAAATTTTGTGTGCATATTGGGTAGGTCTGAGAATCGGCCAACATCTATTTTTCATATCCCTCAATGATAAGGGTGACCCTCCCCAAAACATTTTTTTTTTGACAAATTTTTCCATTTTTATTTTATTATGATTTAGCATTGAAAAATACATACAACCTCAAATTTTCACCGTTTTACGATCAACCCCTGTATTTTAATCGCGATTTTTATATTTCGCAATAAGTGGTAAAACAACGTTTACGGGGTCAGCTAGTAATCTTATAAAAAATAGTCTTAAATATTTTGATTTTCTCAGACCCTTCCCAAAACATTTTTTTTTGACAAATTTTTCCATTTTTATTTTATTATGATTTAGCATTGAAAAATACATACAACCTCAAATTTTCACCGTTTTACGATCAACCCCTGTATTTTAATCGCGATTTTTATATTTCGCAATAAGTGGTAAAACAACGTTTACGGGGTCAGCTAGTAATCTTATAAAAATTAGTCTTATAAGTATATTTAGATTTTCTCAGGCTATCTTAGCAACGTGATGTTCTGGATATTGACGTAAATATTGTGTGTTTCAACAGATGAATAACGAGATACTGCCTGTTGGTACGGCGACACTGTTGCGACAGGCGTGCGACAAATACGTCGCGACGTTTGGTCGCGAGCCAGTCGCCGCCGCCAGCGCGCCGGGCCGCGTCAATCTTATTGGCGAACACATTGATTATTGTGAAGGATACGTGTTGCCTGCGGTAAATATTGACAGAATATATTATATTTTCATATATATTTAGGTATAGGTATATATGCGCTGTGACACTTGCGCTAAATGCCTCTATTTATAGACGAACGACGCTGTTTTCCATCAGGCGGGCGGCATCGAGCTGACGAGCTTGGTTGTCATTCTAAGTTGCTTTCTAGAGATTTAACCGTTAAAGTATTTTTGCTCAACGTAAGCTTTTAGCTATATAGTGAAATAACGTCGCTAGTTGGTATCTTGGGGACGCTATTGTACGGAGCAAATTTTTATATAATAAGACTTGAGTGAGTATAGTCCTTTATATAGGTCTTTAACCAATGCGTGTTGTCAGTGATGATTTATAACCTCGCAACCAACTCACCTCTTACACGAATTCCTCGAGTATATAATAATGAAATTAGTGACGTAGATCTATTCTTTCAATCTAAATTGACATTTAAGAAGCTTGTTGTAAGAACTATGAATCAATGAATCAATAGGTTAATTAGGTAATTAAGTAAAATCTTAGGGTCCGTGTGATTGTATTTGCATGATGTGAGTGGATGTGTGTGCTTTAATGTGTCATAATGGTAACAGGAGGTAGTGTGTTCATGCAAACTTTGTTGTATTTATGTATAAAATATATATAGCACTACTGAATATACTATAACATACATGCATTGGTAAATATTTGTATTTGAGTGTCTTGTGATTGAATGTCTGCATTGTACTTTTCTTTTTTTGCGCAAACCAATTTTGTACTTTTATAATAATAAGAAACCTGTTATTAGCCTTAATATTTTAAATACTAGTCTGTAAATCTTAACTGTAACGACGTTGGTTTCTAATAAATAAATAAATATACATATGTAAAGAGTTCCGTGTCCTCAAATTATAATATAAAACTAAAACAAAATTCTCATAGGATTTTAAAGTAGGTTTTTTTTAAATGTAATTATTTATAAAGTAAGTTAAGACAACATAAGATAAAAAATAGAAAATATGTACAGAAAATGTAGGTCAATGAATAATATTGAATTTTATTATTTAATGCATAATACTTATTTGCATTAATTTGCATATCCTTTTTTTTATTATTTTATACCATGAATAATATAAATGCTGAAGTTTATAACGATGGACGGATTGATATCTGTTAGTCTTTCACTTAAAAACTACAAAACGGAATTAAACGGAACAAATGAAATTTGTTACATGGGTAGGTTATATCCTAACTTGGCATATAGGATACTTTATGTATTGACTCGTGCAGGTGAAGCTGCAGGATATTATTAGTAAATGATATAAAAATTAATAAAATATTATTTGTTCAATTAAATACATAAAATAGCAAAAAACAGTATTCCAAAAATAATAACTTTTTACGTAATTCAGTTTAACAGTAATTAGTCGAAGTACCTAAAAATAATTGATGATTATAAATTTAATTGACAAGAGAGAATTTTCCATGCTCCTCTGATAAAGTTTGGAGTTTATTTACTAGCTCTTGTCTACGTCTTCTTTCGCGTGAGATCCGGTAGTCCCTACCAACTATGTGGTTTACCGTTTGTCATTAGGAACAGCGATGGTCATATAAATTCTAAATGTTAAATCTAAAACAGAAGGTGATTTTAGTAATAGGATTTTGTAAGCAAGCAAGTCGACTTCCGTGCAGTTTCACTGGAAACTACTCCTTGATTCTTGATATATTCGTCATGATTGGCATACTGACCTGATTTCTGGCTCATCTATCATCTCTTACTGGTATCTGCAAGCGTGTATCGATATTGCAGATTGTCTTCCGATTATCCTATTAATATTATAAATGCGAAATAGATAGACGAAGTAATAAATGAGCTAGTTTTGGCAGCTATTGTTTTAAATAATGTATATTGTAAATAATTTAATAATAACAATTTATTGTCATAAATAGGTCACAAATAAAGTATAGGTACATATTAAATAGAAAAAAAAAAATAAGTTTATAAGATGGTGATGATGAATAGGTACATGGATGGATGCATATTTTACGCTAAAACTACTTAACGGATTCGAATAAAATTTGATACATGGGCTATATCCTAATTTAGTACATAGGATGATTTATGTACTAATTCACGTGGGCAAAACTGCGAGATGTAGTTATACATAAAAAAATACACGTTCATGTACAAAATTTTTTATGTCATGTAAAATGTCGAGGTTTAGTTAATTGGAAGTTAAGATAGCGAAAACACTCACTAGACGGTGTGATGTATTAAACAGTCATTATTCTTTTTATTACTCTGGTGACGTCACAGGCACAGATGGCAACAGAATAGCAAAATATTCCGTTATCAATTAGAATATTGGGTACAATATTCCCAAATTAAATTCTAAATTAAATTAACAAATGATTAATCTGTGAACTTAGATATTTATGAATAATGATTGATTGTCAATTTTCCACGAGGAAATTATTTTGAAGTCGTTTGTCAACTTGTTATTTTTTTTTTATTACAAATAGGAGAGGTATCAATGTTGCCAGGCCTATTTTTAGATTATAGTTCATTCTCATCATCATCATTAACCCAGAGTAGTCCAATGCTGGACCATGGGTCTTTCCCTAGCTATCCTATAAATATTAGCAATTTTGTGTAAATCATTGCGTCATCTTGTTAGTCTTCTGTACTCATGATCATGTTTGCTTAAACAGTCATCGATTTTGCGACAAATTTGCTAATAATATTGTTATAAAATTTAGTTAGTACTTATTTTAACAGAATAAAATAAAAATAATCTTTAGTGAAGTAGACTTGTTTATAGGTTGTTTTAAATCCTTACTTTTTTATTACTATATTGCTGGATGTTGTTATCAGCTGAGAAGAATACGTAAGGAATTCAACGATTACTCTTTTGAATTTACTATGTACAATTTAATGCAAGAATATCTGGATTATTTAAGTTTTTTTTTTATACAACTTAGAATGGCAAACAAGCTGACGGCCCACCTGATGGAAAGTGGTAACCGTCGCCTATAGACATGAGCAGTACCATGGACATAACAGAGTATACTGTTTCGCCCATGATACCCTCCATACGTTGCCATTCTTGAGAACTCAGATGTTATTCCTCTGTACCCTGTAAATTCACGCCATATCCCACCCTTCAAACCGAAACACAGCCATGCAAAGACAACTGCTTCACGTTTGGGACAGAGGTACCCAAGCAAACGACTTTTGTACAAAGTCTTGTTGAAAATAATCGACTAGTTTTGGTAAATGAATAAACATAGTAAGTCCATAAAATTCCTTGTATCCAGTTATATATATTAGTTATTAAGTTACTTTAATTTTCACAGTTTTAGATTACAGCATCATAATGTCTCAGTCAAGTTTAATTAAATTGTCACTGAGATTTTCTGAGAAGATGTACTGTCAGTAGCGTGGGTGACCCTACCAATAAAATTGCTATCAAAAACACCGAATTATTCTTTTACGCGTCTTCATAAACACTTTAATGCAAGTTTTAAACATTCTAAGAAGGCGTTTGGGTTTTAGATACCATCAAGTGAGGTGTCGTTAAGAGCGATCATAATTTTAGCTTATTGAAGTGTGGCATGTTGCCGTAAGGTCCTAGCATAGAATAGGCCACCCATTCCTTTCCCGTGGGTGTCGTAAAAGGTGATTAGGGGAGTGCGAGGGATGGGCTGCAGCGTCCTTCTTAAAACATCTTTAAAGCCTAAATGCGGTGGCCAATGTGGCCTGCCAAGCGTGGCAATTACTACCCCATTCATGTTTCTACAGTGAAGCATTTATGTTTGCATGGTTGTGTATCGGTTTTAAGGAGCAGTGAAATTATAGGGTATAGAGCTATAACACCTTAGTCCTCAGGAGTGGCGACGCATGGGAGGTATCATGGGCGACATAGTATACTATGTTATTTCCATGGTACTGCTCATTTCTATAGGCGACGGTTACCACTTTCCACCAGGTGGGTCATCGGCTTGTTTGTCATTCTAAGTTGTTTAAAAACAAATAGCGAACTAAAACGTTAAATATGTAGCAATATTCTTATAAAGTTGCTACTAAAAAAATTGATTTTAATGGCAAAAATATATTTGAAAAATTTTGAAGCAAAATATAAAGTAGGTGTAAATTTTCAATGGTAGATTTTTTTATATAAATGTTCTTAAGTGCGTTCGTAACAAAGTATGATTATGTTACATTTATCTCTATAGTTGCATATAGATATACCACTTTTTAACCACAAATGGCAAACAAACCCACCTAAAGCCTAAAAGACGGCCTGTCTTATGGTAAAAAGGGTTACTGTAGTCTATAGACGGCTGCAATACTAATGGAGTCACGTACGCGTTGTTGACCTTGAAGAAATCTTAATAAATCCTTTTTGAACAACCCCATTCTATAATCTCTAGAGAAAATTTCGATAGGGACCTCATTGCACAGCCTGTGCATTCGTGGGAGAAAAATCCTTTAAATCTTCATATTTTGTTTTAACCGATTTTGATACATTCGTGGGAGAAAAATGCTTTAAATCTTCATATTTTGTTTTAAACGAATTAAATACTTTTTTTGCAATTAAAATATTAATTTTCAATGACAGTTTAATAAGTATTTTATTACATGATTAATGCTTTAATTCACTAACAGACCACTTTTTAAATAATCAGTCAGTAATATTTAAAATTACTAAATTGTTTCTGAAAATTGTCAGGTAATTACAATGTGCCTAACGCGCCTGTATAATTATATTGTAAAAACCGAGCCTGAACTTGATATTTGACACTTTGACATTCGCTCTATGTTCGTGTCTAAATTACCTTACTTTACCTTGTTAGTTGATGTATCTCGCCATTATGTTTTATTTATTCATAATGTAATTTAAATTGAAATGAAATAATTTAATCATAAGTTCCATCATATGTGTATATAAAGGTTGTCTGTAAGAGATTGCCCTAGCGATAAGACCGCCTTTTGTACCTTTATGTGTATATTTCAATCTGTATTTATG